TGATTTTTTCCTCAAAAATTCAAAAAGAATTAACTTGAAATGAAAGGGAAAAACCTGAATCATGCAGTATTTAAACATGTTTTTTGTTGTATACTTTTGGTCATGAAAAATGCTATATTTGTCAAACTTTAGTCCCTTACAAATAAAATAACTCTTTTAATTCAGAAAAATTCTGTGCAGAAGTTTTGATATGTTAATTTTGTAAATGTCTTGAATATTTAAAGTAGAGCTTTAGTCTTTGAATTATTTCTTTTTGCCATAAAATACGATATTTTTGGTATATTCTACTAAAATTATGAATTAGATTACGAATTATTATTGCTTTAATAATAAATGAAAATGGCACAGAATTAATTATCGTAACTACTGCAAAGAATTTTTCTTCAAATTCAAATGATTTAAAATCACTTTTAAAGTCAATTTAAAGCTGACAAAAACCTTTATTTTGAAGTAGTTGTCTACTTGAAGCATACCAAAAACCGTTTCGCTGAAAAAACAGTAATAAAACAATGCTTGCAATTTTTTCAAATTTTAAAAATTATGCAAAAACAAAACAATGCAAGTCTATAAGAAATTGAACAATTTATTACAGTTTTTCAGTATTACAAATGTCTAAAAATAACTTTCATTTCTCAGTAAAATTTTTTTATTTGTTCGATTTTTCGAATTTAAACTCATTTTAAGAAAATTTTTGAACAAATTTTTAGACTTCAAAATTAAGAGGATAAAAATTAAGTATATGAAGTAAAAGTTACTCTCATATTATGTCGATGAGTGAATAGTGCAAGGGCAAGAAGGCAGAAAATGGCTACAGATATCGGTTCATCAGCGATTCCAACAAATCTGACAACCATAGCCATACCCCACCTGTCACAATTCATTAAGTCTCTATCACAAAGCCGAGGTAAAGAAGTATACTTGGAACAGAGCGAAATAACTATCATTATCTGAAATCAAAGTTCAGAATTACTACCTTTAATTGTTCCTAATAACCTTTGACATGTAGCTTTTTAATCTTCACGCATTGTTTGCTAGCAGTCATAACAAAACTAAGTGCTATATCCTAACAAATAGAAGTGACCAAAGTCATAATTATTACCTGAACATAAAAAATAGCAATAGTCCAAAGTAAGCGATGGTTTCGTTCACTCAGTGCTCCCCAGAAGAAAACCAAAATTGCTAGCGGAAATGTTAGCAATGAAGCAGTCTGGCCATGAGCAATGATGATTACTAAGAAACATAAAAAGGCCGTATTGATAATCACAAATGTTCCTATAGAGTTTAACAAACGCCAAAGTAGAGGTAACTTTAGCCAGTAACAGTGCACTTCAGTCATATACCTGCAAAAAATGTAAATTTATGACAAATACGTATAAACAACTTACAGTAAAAGTTGACGTATGACCTAACAACTTACAGTAAAAGTTGACGTATGGCCTAAAATATTAAAGTAACAAATGTGAAATGAATAAATAATTTTAAAATTTCTGCAGAACTGATTCAAAAGAGAATAAAACGGCAAGTAAGTTATTATACTTGACAATATCCTGAGAAGTGGTAACCAAACAAATTTCATTACCAAGATTACATTTTTCAAGTTTAGCCAGCGAATTTGGTAAAGCTAAGCTTAACTCCTAAAAAATACAATAGACTAATTAATAAAAGATTGTTATGTCAATAATACTCAATCTTTTATCACTTTACTTTCAATTCTAACAAAACAAAACTAATTTGCTTGCAAAGATTTGCAGATATTAAAGTATTGCATAAATACAAAACTACCTTAGGAAGTTTATCTAAGAGCAGTTTTTTTTCCTTACTAATTACATGACGGATATAACGATAGTCAAGTGTTTTACGAGCAAACCACAATGCGCATTTTGAAAACAAAACAGAAAGTGTGATAAATGAGCTCTGAAATCGAAACAGAATAAATCATAGAGAAGAGATAGAATCTTAACGCAGAAAACATTGCTAACAATTAGCAAAATATTTTGCAGTAGATTCTTTTCATGCATTGAGGACAAATGCTAGAGATCAGTCTACAACCAATATTAACTTTAATTGTAATTTGAAGGAATAATTCAAAAATATACCTCTTCCTTCGTTTTCTGGGCTCTATTTGCGTTATCTGAGGTAGACCTAAATGCGATTCTTTGACTTTTTCGCTTAGTGAGGAAATAATAGCATTTAATTTAAATTTATATTTTATAGCTAATTCAATGATTATTTATAAAATTTATAAATACATATAGTGGAAATGTTTAGAAATAAATATTTCACGTATTGAAGTATAAAACGTGTTTTTATTTTTAAAAAAATGCTTAATTACTATTCTATTTTAATGAACTGATTTGTTCACTTTAAAATCCATCCACTCCCTCACTCTCACTCTCACTCTC